TATATATATATATATATATACATATCACAAAGTTTAAAAATCAAGTCACAACACATGATTGGTTCTGTAATCAGTCTACCATACAATATGACACTAAATGGAAAGCAAATACACAACGAACTGAAAGCATTATAAAGGTCAAAACACAGCATAACACCCTGACTCCGAACACCACACCATTTTATATAGGTTACATATTATCCAAAATAAGGTTATAAACACATCCTGCAAGTCACAACAGTTGATCATATCACATACAAGTCACAATCGTTGATTATATCATATACATATCACAAAGTTTAAATTCAGGGCACGACACTTGATTAGTGTCGTAATCAGTCTACTCATACACTACAATGCTAAATGGAAAGCAAATGCACAACAAAACTGAAAGTATAAACATCAATTTCACATTTTTCGAAGATTTTCCACCTGAACCCAACATCTTAGCCCTCTTTCGAAGAGAGGAATTTTTAACCTTCTTCCTCCTTTTACCTTTCTCCATTTTCTTCCTTTTATTCTCCACGCTACAAGTTAAAACCATTTTTAATACTTGTAACTTTTGAAAATAAATAAAAATAGGGGCGATTTTGTGGTAAATGGTTGTGTGATAATAGCAGATTTATTGATTAATAGGATGTTTGCAGTACAAACTAAATCAGTTTAGATAATAGTACTAATCAGGTCACATTATATCAAACATAGAGTTACATACGATATATTTGAAATGCATGTTCACAATACAATTCACATTGTAGTGTTTCGGGTTACATTAATATAGCAGGTAACATTATTGTAGCAAGTCACATACAGAGAATCACATGTTTCAATTAATTAAAAGGACATGTCCTATCACATTATAGTATTGGATTCACATAATAGAAATTTCACAAAGTTCAAGTTACATGAAAACTGCATCACACAATATATCTAAATTTCATATTTCGAACCTATCATGTACGGCGCCATAAGTTCAAGATCAGTCGGATCAATATCATTTATCTTACCCCAGTAGATACAAGACTTAAAAATGTTAGGCACATATCTTAAATATGATTAGCAAGACAATTCATAATGTATGTAAAATTTACATTCTCACTGGAAAACTTCTCATCCAACAATGTTACAAAAGGGAGCTTGTAAGCATTCCAATTCATTATTTGAGGGTATTTTTTTACCCATCGGCCACATTCTCCTCGATACCAGGTACACACTTATACTGCCATACTTGAAAAGCAATTAAAAAGCCAACAACCTACAGTGGCTTGTTTCTTTCTCCAAACCCTTCTTCCATGACGATAATATCATTCAAAGAGATATTTTCCCCAAGGAAACATATCCAAAGTCACAAAATCATTAGCAAGTGCAAAAATGTAATGATCCACCACCTTAGTGTATGATGTAGCAGACAAATAATTGGTGATTAGATAAATGATCCATAATCTAGCCACATTCTATTCAGGAGCATCATCATCTAGCAATAGACGTCATGGCTTGTGATAGTCTTAATTCATTGAAATACCTTTCCTTAATTGGAGAAGGTTTTGCCTCTAACATGAGTCGATCATCAACACCAACATACCACAATCCATTCACGAGGTAAAATTCAACAATTGAGAAGCGACAGAATCTTTCATTTATGTTAAACCACATCTTTTGTTTGTTTGGTTGACTGACCACCAATAACAAGACTTGATGAGTCAACTGTAGCTGAACAACAATCTCCCTGCAGTGCATATAATAGGAGAAACATATATGTTCAAGTATCTGCTTGTGTGCATCATTGAATAACATCACAAAATTCGTGATGATATGCTGAATAAAACTAACTATTATCTTGCTCGGAAACCATTTGGCTGGTTTTATAAGATACTTCTATTCCTGTACAAATCATAATGTACAACAAACCACTATGACTTCAACACATATAAACACCCTGACACCAAAATATACATACATGACATTTTATAAAGGTCAAAACACACATCATAAACACCTTTACTTTGAACAGCACATCATTTTATACAGGTTATATATTATCCAAAATAATGTCACAAACACAATATAGGTCACAACAGTTGATTACATATATATATATATATATATATACACACACACACACAATGGGAATGGATTTGTTTTGGGCATAGCCGCCTGCTGTTTTCTTTTTCTTTTTCTTTTTCTTTTTCTTTTAAATTAAGGTATTTCAAATTTCACCCCATAACTATAATTACAATTCAAGTCCCCAACCTTTATATAATTTAACATTTAGTCATCTTAATTATCATACTAGAAGCTAAATCCCAAAATTTATTGTTATATCATTTCGAGCCCTCTTAAGTACTAGCAATTTCAAATTTAAACCCCACGAAAATCATTCCTCCAACTTAAATCCTTATTTGGTTTTAACTTTGACTATATAATTCATTCACTTTGACTGTAATTGAGTGAGGTGTAACAATCTTACCACCTTCAAAGAATTTCGCCCTCGAAATTCAATCAACTAAGATTTGAATACCCAAATGTACAAAGCATACCTAATGAATGACTTTCTACAGTAACCTTAATTAGACACAATTCATTCTTTCATATCCTGCATTTTATTTGGCTTTTCCGAGTTGAGATCTCTATAATTTCACCGATAATTCAAAGCACAAGTTAAATCTAATATCTATTTACTAAGCCTTAGAAATAGACAATGCTTTCTTTAATACCAAATAACCGTTGTAACTCCACCATTAA